GGCAGATGAGCCGTTTCGGACACGCTGGCAAAGGCACAAGCTTGGCCTCCCTGGCACAGCCAGGGCGCTGCCTTACACTGTCAAAGAAGGGCCGGATCCTGATGGCGATGTGGAGGACCATGGACTGGATGTCTCTCTCCTCCACGTGATCCAGAAGCTTGGAGAGACTGGACATGGCCTCGAGCGCAACCAGGTTGTGGGGGTCATCTTTGTCATCCATGCCGTTGACCATGGATGCCAGGAGCTTGGCCCCGTGCTTCCTCACCTGCAAGGCAAGTGGCGAGAAAAGTGGTCCCCGCGGGGCGAGGGGCATGGGGGCTGGCAGGGACACGTCCCCCGGCTGCCCGGCAGCAGGCTCCTGCCCCCATGCCACACTTCCAGCCAGAAAGAGCTGGAAGGAGACTTAAATTATGACTGCCGTGGGCAAAGCGTCTTCGGCACAGGCCAGTCGTTGCACGCGGTAACTGCTTACCGCAGTCACCGGTTCTCCTCCCACTGGAACCATCAATGCAGTATTTCACTGTGTAATTAGAGCTGGTGTATAGACAGCAAAGGGGGAAATTAAGTTTGCGTAAGCCACGTTAAGTCTGCCATCACTTAATTCTGAGCGCTCGATCCTGCAAACTACGCCGTGCTACCCACCGTGGCTTACAGAGCCCAGCTGGGAAGGGGCAAGGACAGACAGACGGACTGCTGTCCCTGAGCCACCTGGGAGGGTAGGAGCCCTGGAGCCCGCCCAGACCCATGCCTGCCCAGCCTCACCATGCTGGCATCGCTCCGGGTTGCCCTAGCAGATGAGGGATGGGAGCATCCGCAGCACAGTCCGGGAGGCAGCTCTCCTGATGGGCTGGAAACCTGGCTGCACTCACTGTGCTCCCGCCGGGGTGAGCGGAGGAGCCGGCAACAGCTCATCTCTGCCATCGCCCTAATTGCACAGGCTCGTCATCGCCCTCCTCATCCTCGCCGGGCTGCGCTGTCAGCACTGCTGGTTTCTTGCTTCCCCAAGGCAGCGCTCCGGCTCATGCAGCCCAGAGTGCCGGATGCTGTTAGAGCAGCAACTCTGACCAGGCTACGCCAGCAGAATGGTATTTTTAGTAGCTACTTATATTTTAGCAGCAGATCACAGTTGCGTATTGTCTGTCTCGGGGCTGGCCTGCCCGTGACCTCTTCCCAGGGTTTGGCACGGGCAAACACAGGAGCGGGGCGTCTGCCAAGCCCCCGTGCTGCTGCCGATCAGCCGTCAGGTAAGGAGAGCTGCGGGGTCAGGCCGGCATCCCCAGGCAGCCCGATGCTCCCACGCCTGTGGGGTTTGCAGCATCAGCACCTCTCCCGGGCAGGAAAGGGGTTTAAGCTGCCGCTAACCGGCTGCAAGGTGCATCTGGAGCCTGGCGGGGACCAGCCGCCCCTGCACATCCTCACGGCGAAGAGCTGCAAGCGCAGAGCGCCCTGCGCCTGCCCTCCCCGCGTGCCGCCCCATGGACGCGCCTCCGGCACAAACCGCTCCGACCGCAGTGCTTCGGAGAGTGGGGATACCGACTCCTGCCTGCCTGAACCTGTCCCCTGTCATCGGGACAGGGGATTGCTTTGCTTTTAAGGATCCATTTGTCAGCTGGCAAAACCACTGGAGCAGGAGGAAAGAGCCATGGGCTCACAGGTCTTGCACAGGCGTGATGCTGCTGCCTGCGTGGGCAGCCCCACAGGTGACCTGGCTCGTTCGGGCCAGCCAGCCTCCCCCCAAGGATGCCAGGCTTTCCTCCAAAGCCAGGCTTTTATAAAGGTGTCTCCTAAAGCAGTCAGAAGTCTGAACCAGAGCAGTCCCGCAGTGCCTGCCTGCAGCGGCGATGTACAAGACAGCTGCCACCTCGGTTTTGGAGGTGCCGTCACCAGGGTGAGGAGGTGGCCGACTGTCCTGTCTAGAGACCCACCCTGTCTTTGACAAGCTGCATCTCCCGGCGGCTACGTGCTCCCTTCTCCCACCCAGCCCCGGCCAGGACTCTCGGGCCGAGCAGCGCGGAGTTCGCTCTCACCTTTTCCGGCGAGCCGGAGGCGATATTGCCCAGCCCCCGGAGAGCCAGCATCCGCACCAACATGCAGGCGTCCTTCTGCCTCCCCGTCATGTTATCCATCATGGTCTCCAGCAGGATCAGGTCATTCACCACGTTGCTATTGAGGAGCTAAAGCAGAAGAGAGTCTCAGCATCGACAGGACAAGGGGCCCCGCAAACCACGAGGGAGATGATGGCTGTGTTTCAGACGCTCTTATTCCTTTACACCGGGAAAGAGCCCCACATGACTTGATTTGCCCCCCGGCTCCCCTCAGACCCTCACTCCATATCCACGCCATCCAGCGACAGGGCTAGGGGAGCCCTCAGCTCCTGCACCCCTAGGCAGGCACTTGGATTTGGGGAACCTGCAATAATTTGTAACATGTAAATCGAGAAAACCGAGGACCCCAAGTTGGGAAGAAGTGGGAAGCCCGGGCGAGCACCGACAGCCAGGAGAAACCCACGAAACCTACACAAAAGCTAAATCCTCGCCCCCAAGACTGCCTGCCAGGTGAGATGAGGTGGGCTATGAAGAAGTCGGGGCATTTACAGGGATGGAGGGGCAAAGTGCATCCCCTGGGCTGTGGAGCAGCCGGCAGCGCTGCCAGCTGCTCTGCCAGAGCAGTGCAGGGGCACCCGGAGCCACCGCGTTCCCTGGAGCTCCCCGGGAGCATCCCCAGCAGCTGAGCAGCAGCAGAACCGGAGCTTTTGGCGAGCAGCTCCTCATTCCTGGAGTGCTCCGAGCGGTGCTGGGAGGAGCCGGCCAGGCAGAGACTCAAGGAGACTGATTCAGGAGACCTGGCTGGAGGGAGACGGCAGGGCTGCTCTCCCACTGACTCTCCTAACCGAGCCCCCAGGTCATGGGGAGAGCCACGTACGGAAGCGGGACGTGCTCCAAGGAGCACTGCTGGCCCTCCCCGGTGGGGCCCGGCTCATCCTGGATGGATCAGGCTCCGCTTTATGGAAAGGAGGTTTAACTGCCGGCAGTGGCGGGGGGGGGGGGGGGCCCGCGCCCGGGGG